AGCAAATAATCCTTCCCTGGAACGCGCTGCAGCCACAACATTCCAAGTGAATGATTATTTGCTCCCCACCGCCCCCTCCAAAAAAAAAAAAGTTGAACATATCTTGTCCTCCAATGCATTTCAATGGAGGTTGATTTGTAAATCGTTGCGTTCTGTTTCGATTGACGTTTAGCGCCAACGTCCGAGGTTCAACGGAATTGGCTCGCCCATGACCAGACTTGGGAGATTTCGAATACAGGACACCGTGTTTTTAGTCACACACTTTTCTTGATGATGGAAGATAAATGGATTTTCAAAAGCAGAGAAACACGACATGCGCACGCGCGTGTGTGCGTGCGTGCGTGTGTGTGTGTGTCATGACCAGACTTGGGAGATTTCGAATACAGGACAACGTGTTTTTAGTCACACACTTTTCTTGATGATGGAAGATAAATGGATTTTCAAAAGCAGAGAAACATGACATGCGCACGCGTGTGTGTGCGTGTGTGTGTGTGTGTGTGTGTGTGTGTGTATGTGTGTGTGGGTTAAGCCTGTGGAAGAAGATTAAGCATGCTGATTGGTCCGACCAAAAATAACAATAATAGTAATGATAATAATCAAATAATAAGAATAATGGAGTTTAATCTGCGCTTTAGCGCTAATCCAGCTGCTGTCTTATTGTTGTGTTGCATGTTGTTTAATCCACTTAGTTTTGCTTTTGCAAAATCTCATTCTCTTTTCATTCCGTGTTGCCGGTGGCCGGCGTGGCGCCAATCCAATAACGCCGGCGGCGTCGTCTTCAATTTCTCCAGTGCGCCGCTGTCTTGCGTGGCCTTCCGTGGCGCCTGCGCATGTCCAAGCTATGTTGGTGATTGTTGCAAAAGTGCCGAGGACGACAAGTGTGGAGAGTCCAATTGTGTTGGCATCAAATGTGCTTTGTGTGCGTGTGTAACACTCAGTTACTTCTTCTTCTTCTTCTTGGAAAGTGCAAAAAGAGTGAGGGCTGTCTTCTAATAACAAGACTGTGCGTGTTTTTGCGTGAGTGTGTGAGCATATATATTTAAATGTGCGTGTGTGTGTGTGTGCGCGGGCGCGTGCGCGCGTGTGTGTCCAGATGTCTTGTAATCCTGAAAGGCTCAAGATGAAAGTGGAATCTTCTCCAATTATGATCCACAGTCTCAATTATCCCCACAAATCCTTCCAATGATTCCCTAATAATCCGCCTGATGGGATCACATGACCTACTTACACAAGTCACATGACCAGCAGCTCTCTCTCTCTCTCTCTCTCTCTCTCTCTCTCTCTCTCTCTCTCACTCACTCTCACACACACACACACACACACACACGAAGATGAAAGCTGCCCTTGCACTCAAACGCGTGTTGTGATGTTCCTGATCAGTTGTTTTCAACAAGAAGTCATGTGACCTGTTGCTTGCTCTGCTCCCATGCGGACGAGCTCCCGCGGCGGAAACTCGTTTATTGACTCTCCTCCGAAAGACCAAAGAAGCTAAGCTAACGCTACTAGTGACAGTACACGAGCTCCCAAGTGCGGGCGCGCACCTGTCATGTTATTCTGATGGATTACTTCCCCGTTATCATATTAGTTATGATAATAGCCGCTGGGGGTGCGCGCGCATGCGCGCGCACGTGCTTTTGTTGTGTACCATCAGAGTGATGAAAGATTATAGAAGCATTAAGTGATAAAAAAGCGATTTCGGATGAATGCGCAACACGTTAACGCTCACACACATTTAGATGTATCTTGAAAATACAGTCAAATATATTTTTTAAAAAATTTATTGATGTTACGGCGGTTGACTGGTGAGCACGTCTGCCTCACAGAGCGGAGGTCGTGGGTTCGAATCCGGCCCCGGCCCTCCTGTGTAGAGTTTGCAGGTTCTCCCCGGCCCTGCGTGGCTTTTCTCCGGGTAGTTCGATTTCCCTCTCACATTCCAAAAACATGCACGCTCGCTGAATGGAACCCTCTAAAATTGTCAAGGATTGTTTGCCACTATTAATAAAACAATATGCCAAAGCCAGGGGCAACGCTATGTGGTGGCCTTATCTGGTCTCAGGCCTGAAACCAGGACGCCGGAGAGCCGGCGATGTTGAGTTTGGTCTTGAGGCGTGGCGGAAGGATGCGGTGGCTGATGGGGTCAAATGCTGCACGGAGGTCAAAGAGGAGGACAACGCTGAGAGGAGAGGAAAGTTGAGGCGAGCGTATGGGATCCGGGGAGCAAGTGGCGGTCTTAAGGCCTGAGCTGGACACAAGTGACAAGAGTTGCTAAGGGGAACTGGGGGGGAGCTGGATCGGGAGGTGCCGGCTGAGGGGAGGGGAGGGCGGGGCAACTGGAGATGATGTCAATTTGGAACGATCCAGTCTTTCTCCCAGTCCCCCCCCCCCAAAAAAAAAACGATTGAATTTTGTGATGCTGAACTGCGAGGAGGACTTGTGCACTGCTTGTTGGAAAAAAAAAAAAAAAACAGTGTGGAGGAGATGTCACCTTGTAGTTTGACCCAGCAGAGGTCAAAGGGTCTCTGTATTGCTGGATGAAGGCTTGGAGATGGACACTTGAACCGACTTTTCTCATTCAGTGGGAGAAAATATAACGAGGAAAGCCAATTTTGAGCAGCGAGCCTGCGCTTGTTTGGTTTGAGTCGCGACCGTGGATGAGGTCAAGGGATCGCAATGGGACTTTGCGGGACCGCTCGGTGGCTCTAAAACGCCACCCGAGACCTCACAGTCACTCTGTTGGCTCCTGCTAGGCGGGTGCGCGCGGGCCGGCGCGCGCGAGCGTGTCATGTAGCAGTTAGTGCGTTGTAAGCCTTGGACGCTGGCCCAGATATAATCCAATCCTTTTTAAAGTAGTTCATACAAGCAATTACGGCCATGTGGGATAATGTCCTGCTTAATCTTAAAGGGAGGAGGGCGGGATGGGGCAGGGATGGCCGAACAGGGTCTGGGGTGGGGTGGTGGGGACATCGGTTGGGGCGGGCTTGCAGGCCGATTATTTGCCGTTGATTTGCGAGTCTGAAATGTTTTCTCCATAAAAGTCTTTGAATGATTAGTGAATTAAGTTCTTATCTTGCCTCTAATGGCCCTAACGGCCTTTTTGCGACTCTCCGTGAGCCTTATTATCTTGCGCGTGTGCGTGCGTCGTAATGTGCGCCGCCTGAGATGTTGCACTTGTTGCCTGCATGTTGACTTATCCCGTCTGAGATTAGCGAGAGCAAGGACTTATTTTTCATGCACATGTCAACTTGTAGCACGCGTGCGTGTGCGCGTGCGTGCGTATCGTGATGCTTCTAGCAAGCTCACTTGAGCATGTGCAGCAGGTCAAAGGTTGCTGGTAAAAGGTACTAATGGATAATGCCTGACCCCAACCAGCCCCGCCTCTCCAAGCATCACTTTACGCCTTTACTGCTCAATGCACAGCGCACTCGCATGCACGCGCGCACACACACACACACACACACACACACACACACACACACACACACACACACAACGCACGCACGCACGCACGCGCGCGCGCGCACACACACACACACATTTCTTGGCAGATGACTGACATGAGATAGGAAAGAACGATATCATCATCATCAATGAATGTGGTCATTCTTTATAAAATGAAAGACGACATTTCTGGCTGCAGCTTTTTTATTTTTTAATAATCTATTTATTTGTCAAAGATTGATGATTGCTTCACATTTCTTCACGTGGCAGGCAGCGCGGCGTAGTGGTCGTCTTGCAACCCAAAGGTTACGGGTTCAATCGCTGGCCACTGTGACCGTGTCGGAGTGTCCCTGACCGGGAGACTGAGCCCCAAGTTGCTCCTGCTGCTTCGTCATCAATCGGTAAACGGACGGTCATTGTGGAGCGCTTTGAGAGCCTTGTCAGTGGAGCGGCTCCACGTGGGTGAGTTGACCCCCAACAATGGAAGCACTTCCCCGGCAGGCTGGAGGGGGGCGTGTCGAACAACACGGGAGACAGAAAAGCAACATGGAGTCAGTGCTCAGTCAGGCAAAGGGAAATGGGGGGGGGGCAAACGGGGACGGGGGTGTTCCTGGGAAAGTGGGCCTTCATACCTTTAATGCTTTCGAACCAAAGAAACACCTGCAGAAACCTCACCGAGATATTCAACTTGGTGCGTACGTGCGCTGGTGCGTGCGTGCGTGTGCACGCTCAGACCCTGTGGAGGGCGGAAGCGTCCGAGTCTGTGCAAGTGGCTAAAAGAGGTGAGATGGCGCTCTCTAGCGGTGAAGATGAAGAATAAGAGATGTGTATGTTGCTGCCGCAACAGCACAAAACGCTGAAGGTGAGCACCGGAAGTGCGACGCTAGGACACTTCATGGAAGTCAAAAGTGGACAATGTTTAAAAAAAAAAGTGGACATGCGTGTGTTCTTCCAAAAACAGCCAGTTGTGCGCCTGAAGCACTTTAATAGTCTTGGAGTGACGGCGGCCTTGCCGACGTACCCAACAGACGACGGACACCAGTGGGCATCTAATGTCAAGTGAACATCAATACAGTATGAACATAAATAATTGAGATCACATACCCAAGGGGGGACAGGGTGGTGACGTCATGGACATTGGACCCCCATCTTTGCGCCTACGGTGTTCCATTTGTGTAAAAAGTATGTCGTCATGTGCATGTGACATGACATTTGACTGTGTTTATTGAACGCAAAACGTGTCGTCATGATATACTAGCGTCCTCCAAAGCGATCAATCGTGGAGATGACAATAAGAAAGGCAAAATAAGCTGTTGGCACCGCTGAATGTTTTATGTTTATACAGATATGTTCAACAGTAAAACCACACATGCATGCAAGAATTGATTTACTGATATTACATAATTCGCTATGTTTTTCAATTTGATTATTAGAATGTGGTATGGTTAAATTGTTGTTTTGTGTCAATAAAAGACGTGTTATGAAGGCTTTCGGATTGGAAGATTGCAGTGTACAAATATGGCCACTGGGGGTAGCAAGTCATGAGAACACGCTCGAGAAGTAAGCCGTAGAAAAAAAAGTAAACGAAGAAGAAGTGAAACACTGAAGAAGAACCTGTTTGAAGAAACGAAGAAGAATCACCATCACCATAAAGGACGTCAAAGTGAAAAAAAAGAAAAGAAGCTCTTCGGACGGGACGTTGAAGTTGTCGCATCAGGTAAGAGTTACCCGAACCGGTGTTGGTTCGTGTTTTTGTGCGCGGGCTGCTGGTGACAAACTCGACATGACGTCACATAGAAGTGCAAATGCAGCTTTTCTTAGTGGGCGAAAGGACCAGAACATTCTTTTTTTCACGTCCCACTCCTCTGAGAGCCTTTTCCTTAAAATGACACAAAACCGCTCAAAACATGAAAATTACCTCTTTTTTTTGCGGGTGGTGGGTGTATTTATGTGGGACGTTGCGGGCGTTTCAGCTCAGAGCAGCCCGACCAAGTCAAGTTTGGATAATATCGTTGACGAACGACGTTCTCCTTGCAAACGGAAACCGAAACAGAAAATGTAGCTTGAATAACGGCACGGTTGACGTGCATGTCTGCGTTCTCATGGCTGTTGTCAGGAATTAGTCGGAGCCGTTTCAATTTCACTCAAGTCACTTCACCTTGACTTGTCCGCACCCTAAGTGTGATTCCGACCTCCTCCATTGTCCAAGTGGCAAATCGGTGCTCTTGTGAAAGCCAGCTTCCTTCATCATAGGCAGTTGGTTAAGGGAAAAGCCCTTCCTTTGTCAGCAGCATTTAGAAACTGTAATCCACGCCTTCATTAAATCTCGGCTAGATTACTGTAATGCACTTTACTTTTGGAGTCAGCCAGTCCTCCTCGCGAGAGTCTCCAGTTGAACCAAAATGCTGCTGCTCGCCTCCTAACTGGAGCTCGTAAGAGTGAGCACATAACCTCAATTCTGGCTTCCCTTCACTTCTCTGAGCTCCTCCATCCCGACTCACCTGGCCGGTGCCTGAGGTCTGTGGACCAGACGCTACCGGAGGTGCAGAGGACTAAACAGAGCCTCAGAGGGGATCGAGACTTTTCTGTTGCCGGTCCTTCCCTCTGGAAAGTCATTCTGTTAAATGTTAGGCAAGCCTGCTCCCTGTCCCTTTTCAGAACTCGTTTGAAGACACTTCTTTATTCCTTCCTTATTCCTTAGCTTTTGACCCAAAATAAGACTGACACTGGTCGGTTGTTTTCTAGTCTCAACTTGATGTGTTAGTATCATTAATTTATACTTCAATGAACTGTTTTCACTTTCTTTGCTGTTTTGTTGTAGTTATTTTATGCCATACGTAAAGTGCTTTTGTGACAGCTGCAGCTGTTGTGGGACGCGCTATATTATTAATAAAGTTTGTATTATATTCTCTTGCCATTGTCCTCAGCAAGCATGGCGGGCGAGCGGCGCAACGGCAACCTGCTGGTCCAGATCAGTCCGCGGCTGCAGGCGTATCCCGAGGAACTGATCCGCCAGCGACGCACACGCGACGGCCAGACAGAGTACCTGATCCGCTGGTGCCTTGCCGATGTCGACGACGGCTCCGCCTCCGGAGTCAGTAACTCCGGCAGCGGCGGCGGTTCCGGGTCGAGGGGCCCCGACGGCTCCTCATCTGGGGATATGAAAGCCAAGAACATCCTGATGTGGATGTCCACGGAGGACGTGTACGCCAATTGCCCCGCCCTGCCCGGCAAGAGGAAAGCCGACACACAGCGCGCCGCGCGGCCACAGGAGAAGCCGAGCGGCGGCGGCGAGGCCGAGGGGACCTTTGATGAGGTGGAGCTGCTAGACATGGAGGAGGATGTGAAGAACCTGGTGCGCCGTGCCAGGAAGCAAATGGCCAAGAAGAGCGAGCTCTCGCTCACCATCACGCACACCATCCACGTGCTGAGCGCCTACGCCGCCATCGGCTCGCTGGCGGCCGTCTTCAAGGAGACCGGTGCCCTCGACCTGCTCATGGAGCTGCTGTGCAGCAAGGAGACGCAGACCCGACGCAGTGCTAGCAAGATGCTGCGAGCGCTGGCCTCCCACGATGCAGGTAACGCCATGTGAGGTTTGCCTTTATCGTCCATAGTAGAACTCGTTGCGATTGTTGGGATGGAGATGAATTAATTGCTTCATTGAAACGGGACTTTGAAAAAAAAAATCACGTACAATGTACCAATTGCGATTATTCGGAAAAAAATAGCAGTTGAATTCTTTTCCATAATTGTTCGGCCCTTGAATATTTTAACTCATATGGCCACCTCGCTGGGTCCACACACACACACACACACACACACACACACACACACACACACACACACACACACACACACACACAGAGAGAGCGATGCTGTCGCTCAGCCAGCAGGACGGCATCGAGCAGCACATGGATTTCGACAGCCGCTACACGCTGTTGGAGCTGTTTGCTGAAACCACGTCCTCGGAGGAACACGGCATCTCCTTCCAAGGGGTCCATCTGCCGCAGGTGAGCATTCCGAGCGTCGCTCACCACCCTCTGGCTTCACATCTTTGTGTCAACACATGCACGCACGTGCGCTACTCCACAACTCCGCCCACGCATCCCTACCCCTCTACCTCTACTTCTTCTGCACCATGATCCTGGCTGATCCCTAAACACATGCTGCCACCTGCTGGACAGATTTTAAATGATTTCCAACGCAGACCTCAGTCAGAGGCTGCGCCAGACCCTTCTGCACTCTATGACGCAAAAAAAGGAAATGACGTATAAATACGTCATGGGTAGGCAGTCAAGGTGGCCTATTCATACGTAATGGGAAATGAAAGAGTTAAGGAGAGTAGCCACCCGATCGTAGTTGAGATCATTTACATCATGAATACTTGTTTTTTTTTTTTTTTAAATGAGAACGCACACCGCTTGGTCAGTTATTTATGACTGACAAAAAGTGCTTGGAAAAGGGCCGTCCTGCTGTTTGTAAATCCGCTAAACTGGCTGCTGATTGTTCTGCGTTTGTGGCTCAGATTCCCGGGAAGCTGCTGTTCTCCCTGGTTAAGCGTTACCTGTGCGTGACGTCGCTAATGGACAAACTCAACACGGTGGGAGCCGACTCGGCCTCTGACAGACAGGAAGCGGGCAGCTCCCCCGGCCCCGCCTCTTCCTCCTCCGGGACGGCTCGGCTGCGCATGACGTGCGAGTTTGAGTTGGCCATGGCCATGGCCAACCTGATCTCGGAACTGGTGCGCGTGATGGGCTGGGACCGCAAGCAACTCTGGAGCGCGACCCTGCCGCCCGGAGGAGGAGGCGGCGGCGATCAGGAGGACGCCGCGGCGCCCGCCCTCAGGTCCATCTTCCAGCCTCGGCTCCGCGCCTTGCCCGCCGCCCCCGCCGTGAGCCGCCCCGCCGCCGCCGTCCCCAAGGCCAAGACCGGAAACGGCTACAAAACACGCTGCGACTTCGCCAGCCGCTCGGCGTACGTGGAGTATGTGCAGGACCACCTGAAGAGCGGCATGGTGGTGCGCATGCTTGAGGACTACGAGGAGGTCAGCGCCGGAGACGAAGGAGAGTTCCGATACTGCAACGACGGCTCCCCGCCTGTTCAGGTGACAGCAAGTGGCGAAGGCCGCGAGCAGAAAGTTTCACAGTGTGCATGCAGGAATCCTTGCAGGTGAATCCAAGTTGACCTTCTTTAAACTTTTCTGGAGAATGCTTCAGTACGTTTTGCACAACTTGGTCTTCAACATCAAAGAACTTTCTCTTTGAATCCTCGTACCGTTGCTCCTTTTTGTTCAAAAATCTCAGTCAGCATCTTGATTAAAAGGTTACTGAAGGTCAAATTGGGTTTACCTCCAAAGACTGTCATGAGTTTTAGGCGTGTCCTGAAATTTCACGCCAAAGCCCAATCCCAAAAACCGTGTATGTGCGACTTGTTGTAAACAAGTGTAAAGCTTTGTTCAACGTGAGGGGCGTGTGTTTACCGTTTCAAAGACATTATCAGACAGATCCTTTCAAGACAATTCCGATGGTAGAAGTAGAACGGAGTCTTGCTTGAATGCCCATCTGGAATTTTTTTTCCCACGAGAAATAAAGTCCAGAAAATTCAATTTTATCCTCCCAAAAAAGTAACTCATCAGGAGTAATATTTTCTTCATGTAGTATGAATATGTGATGTCAAGCGATATCAATCGGTCTCCTTGGGGGGCGGCCGCCACGCACTTTGGAATGCAGGAAACGCCCGGCAATGAAACGCATAAGCGACACGGAGCTTAGTCGAAGCTGGAAATGCACACACGGTAGCTTAGATGTCTTTGCGGCTTTTCGATATTGAGCGATGTTGCCATTCCCGTTTATCGCAATTTGATTGAAAAAGTGAACCGTTGAGAACAAACTTAAATAACGTCGGGCGCAAGTTTTTCACTGCACATGGCGCCATCCCGTTGGCACCCCGGGTTTGCGCGCACTGCGTACAAAAACTCGTTCTTTTCAAAACAAAACGGTGACATTCAAATGGTGGACGCTGGCGTGTGTGCGCACACAGGTGTACTGGAACGCCCTGTGCCGAACTTACTGGGTCCACTGGCACATGCTGGAGATTGTTGCCGGCGCGGGCAACAACGGCCCGGATGCGAAGGACGCGGCGGACAAGGCCTCGTCCCTCACGAGAACCATCAGACTGGCGGCAGGTAGTTTGGTCATGGATGCAACGCACTGCACTTTCACTCCTCTTCTTAATCTGCTTCTTCTTTTCCCGGTCTTGCCCCTTGGCCAGCCAGAACATCTCGCATCTGTTTCTCCTTCTTGTCCCTCATTTTGCTGTGGTTGTCGTTGTTGCGCCTCAGCCAGCCAGAGCACCTTCCCCAAGCCTCCGGGCGGCCTCTACTCGCTGCCCTACTTGCCCGAGCGTCCGCGGGCGGCCGAGGACGACGCTCAGGCGGCGCTGACTCGCGCCGAGTGGTGGGAGCTCCTCTTCTTTGTCAAGAAGCTGGAAGCCGGCGCGCAGCGGGAGATGATCCGCCTTTTGATGCACAACCTTGGCCAGCAGGTGCTGACGTTTGGAGGGCGGCGTCCTGGGAAAAGAAGTTTTGACTTGATACCTTGCTGTCCCAGGAGGCCGAGATGGGCGACTCCGCGCTGGTGGGCCTGACGGTGCCGGCAGACGTTGTCCGGAAGCTCATCCGCTACCTGAAGCAACATCTGCCGCCGTCCTGCTTGGACGAGCTGCTGTGCTCGTGCGCCTTCGCCCGACACTGCGCGCGGTCGGGCGGAGGCGGCCACGAGCGAGAACCACCGGCGGGCGGCGACGACGACGACGATGACGCTTCCTGCTCGTCGTCTTCCTCCGGGATGGCCTCCTTCTCCAAGAGAGCCAAGAAGGAACCTAACACTGATTTGTCCTGCGCCAGCGCCGACGCGGACGCGGACACGGAGAGCGAGCTACCCCAGGAAGATTGCAGCCTGTATCCTGACGGCCTGGAGGAGATGATGAAGGGTGGGTCCCGCGCAACCCGTCTGTCCACTCGCTCGGTGTAGCCAATCAAGCGTGTCGACTTCATGCGTCTTGCTACATGAATTTGCTTTTCGTCTTTTCATTTTGGCACAAAGTCACAACCCAAAGTCCAAATTTTCCTTCGCTTTTAACGGATGGACAATTGGACATTTCTCTTTGTGTGACATTTGTCCATCCTGCGCAGCCTTTAACGGGCCTCGTGTCCTGGGCAAGAAGACTGTGCTGGAGAAGATCGGAGAGGTGGTGGACATCCTCAAGAAAGGAGCCATGAGATGGGACCCGCTCCAGAACCTGGCCGGGGTCATCTTCATCAGCAGGCTGCTGGAGGACAATACCACGCCGGACAAAAACCCGGGCCGGAGCGACGCTGTGCAGAGCATGCAGTGAGACCCGCCTTTGGAATGCTTGCGATTTTGCTGTCGACGTTGCCCAGCGCCCGTCTTCCTGACGTCGGCGTCTGTTGCCCTGGCGCAGGGACAAAGTTGTGAAGCTGCTGGTCGACCTGCTGGGCTCACCGTGCAGCAACGTGGCCACCCGCACGCTGAGGCTGACGCATTCGCTCTTGCTCCGATACGAGTGGAGGGTTTCGTTTGCCACCGAGGGCGGCGTCAAAGCCATCCTGATGTGCATGCAGGAGATGGCCGACGTGCCGCACGTGCAGCAGCTTGCGCTGGCGGTCAGGACACACTCACACACACACACACACACACACACACACACACACACACACACACACTGTTGTCACACGTGTTATGCGAGACCTTTGGTCCGGGAAAACCGTCTCATCTGCCACCACCATTCTTGATGTGTAGTATTTGGGCACGTTACGCCCTCAGCGCTTCTTGGCATCTGGGATCCAGTTTTCACATTGCCCAAATTCCCACAAATGTAATGTTAAACATTCTCAAATCCATCCCCACATTTTCTCTTTGAGGATTTCTCAACTGGTCTGAACTAACCCCAGTAATTCAACACGCGAACGGTTTAGCCAGTTAGTAGCCAGCCAACCTTAGTCTCTCATTTGCTGACACCCACGTCACTCACCGCGGCTGTGCTGTCGCCCTCAGACGCTGAAGGTCCTGATGGGGGCCGCGAAGTACGAGCCACAAGGCGCTGGCAGCGTTCCCGCGCTCTCGGAATCGGGCGCTCAGATGATGCTGGAGATCTTCGCCAGCATCGGCTCGGCCACGCCCGAAGGCTCCAAAGGGCCGCTGGCCGCCATCCCCGCCGCCCTCGACCTCATGCTGAGGACGCCGGGGTAAGGGCACGCGTTCATCTCGGGGCGCTCCGCGCCGCACGTCTGGCTTTTTGATGCTCGGGTTAAACGACGTACCGGCGCTGCGCCTTCGCAGCTGCGTGCCGGCCGTGCGCAACAGCCTGATGGTCATCTTGACGCTGGTCTCCAACCACAAGAGTTTGGCCTCACAGCTGATGACTTGCGGCGTCACGGCCGTCCTGGAAAAGTGTCTGGCGCTGTCCCAGAATGAGACCATGCTGGCCATCATCGCCCTCAACCACATCTTCATGGCGCAGAAGTTGGACAACAAAGGTAAGCGCATCGGCCCAAAACGCAGCTTCGCGCCTCCTCTCGATACTCTGACGAGGTCGATGACAGTCTGGTAGGATTGTGTTTTATTTATTTAATGAATGTATTCATTTTGTCAAATTCCACAAAGATGGCGGCCACGTGTCATGTTGCCCGATCGGCCCTCGTCTTTCCTTGTCCTCTCCGACACCTTAACCTTTGCCCACACGTCCCTCAGATCCTCCAGAGCAGCTGGACCTGAAGGACACGCAGCTGCAGAAGTTGCTGATGAGTCTCAAGGGGAGGACGGCCACTGCCAAAGAAGTCATCCACACGCTGGAGCAGCTGCTGTGCCAGTCGACGTGTCAGCTGGAAGGCCTGCGTAGCCAGGTAGCACGCGCGCACAGACGAGGGGAAGACGTGGCCTACGGCCCACTTGCGACTTGCTGCTCGAGCTGGATTGATGGGGAGAGAGAGAGAGAGAGAGAAAATTACACGTGCTTTAACATTGTTGCGGCCGCGCAATCTTTGTGTATCCGCAGGTCTCCCAAAGTCAGGACATGTTTCAGGACCTTCTACATCTGATGGAGCCACTGCAAGCGGACCGGACCGTCCAGTTGTCCATCCTCAGGTAGCGCACCGTGACGGCGATCTCTACGCCTCGCTCCTCCCGTACGCTGACGACCCGGTCTCGGTCCCGCCAGGATCCTGAGCAAGTTTTTGGACAGCTACCAGGAGGACGTGCTGCCCTGGCAAGACAGCATCAAGCCTTGCCTGGCATCCATGAGCGCATTCATCAGCGACAAAGAGGTGAGCGCGCCCGCCGCAGGCCGAGCGCAAGACTCTGCGGAGCGCGGCTGAAGCCGTCCGTCTGTGCGTCCCTCTGCCGCCAGGTTGTCCAGCAGCTGGTGTCGTTCCTGTACCGCATGACGTGCGTGAACAAGGACTACGCCGTGGTGATGTGTCGCCTGGGTACCAAAGAGGTTCTGATCAAGGCTCAGGATAAACACGGCGCCGGCCTCAACACGGCGGCCGAACTTCGGGACGTCGTGGCCGATTGTGACAAGTACGCCAGCCTCTACAACAGCATGACCACCAGCGTGCTGGCCGGATGCATACAGGTACGCCACGGCCACGGCCGCAACTTGACTGCCTCCACGACAACTGTCACTGTTCCGAGCAACGTGACAAATGGCCCCCGTAAAAAGATGCTCTTGGGGCGCCTGGAAAACCCTCCAGAGCAGCTCCATTCCTGAAAAGCGATTGATGACTCTCGTACACAAGTTCGTCTGTTTGTGTCCGTTATACCTCCCGTAACTTCTAATGCTAAGGTTCGTTCGCCCGTCAATGTTTGGGTTTTCAAGAGCCTGTTCCTGGCATGCCTCAATGCTCAATGGTAGAGTGGTCATCGCTCCCAACCCAGAGGTTGGACGTTCAATCCCCCCGGCCATTGCGACCGTGTCAAAGTGTCCTTGAGCAAAATACTGAGCCCCCACTTGCTCCTCATACTGTCTCATCAGTGGGTCAGTGAGAAAACGGTGCAAAGCGCTTTGAGTACCAAAGGTAGTAAAAGTGCTGAATAAGTGACAGCCCATTGACCACGCCTACCCGTTGACCAATGTCTTGTGGAGTGGCAGTCAACATCGCAATTCCAGTTGACCAATAGAACGCCGGCCGGCAGCGAGCGAGCACGCAGGTGAAAATGTTGTTGTTGTTGTTGTGGTGACGTCTGCCATCAGATGGTGTTGGGCCAGATCGAGGAGCATCGGCGCAGCCACGAGCCCATCAACATTCCCTTCTTTGACGTCTTCCTCCGCAATCTCTGCCAAGGTCAGAGCTGCAAACGCACACGCTGTGCTCGTTATTCCCGTCCCCTAAGCAGTCTGCGGAATATAGGGCGACGTGTTGCGATCGGATTGACGGGATTGAAGGCTTCATTCGCAGGACTGTAGCAAAAGTCACACGTGTAGATACAGCCAATCAAGAGGCTCTGTGTTTACAGATTGCACACTTGCATATTTATGGGCACAATTAATCATGTATTTGTGCATCCTAATCGATGTACGCATTTGTAGATTTCGGTGACACATTTGTGACTGCGGTTGCGGATTCTGTTTCCATGTTTGTGGATTAACATCGCCATTTGTAAATGGTTTTGCGACAATAATGGCTCCATAGTGAAGCACTACGAGCCGTCAGTGAAAAGAAAATGTCTCCGCGGCTTGTGCTCAGGCTCCAGCGTGGAGCTGAAGGAGGAAAAGTGTTGGGAGAAGGTGGAGGTGTCGTCCAATCACCATCGAGCCAGCAAACTCAGCGACAAGAACATGAAGACTTATTGGGAGTCCAACGGGCCCACCGGCTCGCACTTCATCAACATCTTCATGCACAGAGGCGTCATCATCAGGTCAGCTGACTTCACCGTTCCTCTGGGGAACATCTCAAAAGCCAGCCTTTTGTAAAGGTGTGTGTGTGTGTGTGTGTGTGTGCGCGCGTCCGTGCAGGCAGCTGGCCATCCTGGTGGCCAATGAGGACTCCAGTTACATGCCGGCCCGGATCCTGGTTCTGGGTGGAGACGACCCAGGAAACATTAGCACTGAACTCAACACGGTGACCACCTTCTTTCTCACACGTTCACTCACTGGTGCACAGCACCAGTCTCTCCTTTTTTTCCCCCAACCTCGTTGACACAAAGTGTGTGTGCGTTTAGGTGAATGTGATGGCGTCGGCCAGTCGGGTGGTTCTGCTGGAAAACATGAACAGATTCTGGTCCATCATTCAGATCCGCATCAAGAGATGCCAGCAGGTCAGACTCTTGAGTTCACGAAAAATCTTTCCTGTCGGTGTCCTTTTCCAAGAGACTGATTTGATGCGTGCGTCTGAGTGGCTGACTTGGCCTCGTGTGCCACAGGGCGGGATCGACACCAGGGTTCGTGGTTTTGAGGTTGAGGGGCCCAAGAACACCTTCTGGCCCGTGTTCAAAGAACAGCTTTGCTGTCGGACCTTCTTGTTCTACAGCACCAAAGCGCACTCGTGGTGTCAGGAGGTGACCGAGGACAAGACGCGTCTGCTGCAGCTTTTCGACAAGTACCGCAATCTCCTCCCGTCATGCAGCGCTCTCTCGCTGTCGTCACCGCCGCCATTTCACTTCCTGTGTGCCCGCGTGCGTCTGTGTGCTCAGGCTGAACAGCGCCCTCAGGCACGAGCAGATGTTTGCCGACCGCTTCCTGCCGGATGTCGAAGCCGCCGAAGCCTTGGGTCGAACCTGCTGGGAGGCGCTGGTCACCCCCATCGTGCGCACCATCACCTCATCAGGTTTGTGACCATCGCAGCTCGCTCGGATACAACTGAACCTCAAACCGAGTTTATCGCACGGCACGATAATGATCGCCATAGGGTGGAAAAGCTGTCCCAAGTCCCAAAATTCAAGTCGGAAGGAAGATTGGAATGTGTTTTTCCACCCAGAAGGTTGTGGCTCCAGCCCGCTTTCCTGGCTGCTCTGCGAGTACCTGGACAACTTGGACTTGGCCCACCGCCGCTTCAAAAGCAGGGCCGCCATCTTTAACTCCCGCGTCAGACGGCTGACGCACCTCCTGGTGCACGTGGACAGCGGCCCGGCCGACCCGGACCACATCGGACCTCCCGTCAAATCTCGTGAGTTCCGCCAGACCGACGCTATCCGTTTTCAGGAAGCGCATGTTTTGTACACGACGAATAGGACAAAATGGCCGCCTCCTCGGATGTCCTCGTCTCTCATGTCCTATTGCACAACACCAATCACCTCCTTGACGATGGAAATCCTTCCCGTAGAAGGCAAAGAATCCAAGAACAAAGATGGCGCAGCGACCGCTTCTTTGTCGGTCAAGCCTCCGGCGAAGAAGAGCAGCATCGCAGACATGGCTGCCTGCTGGCAGGTGGTGGTACTGCAGCAGGTGAGAGGCTGTTTTTGGTGTGGTGGCTCACGGCGGGTCGTGTCGCTGCCTGCCGCTCAAAATGTTTGTTGTTCAGGTGAAGAGCTTTCTGGAAGGCAACTGCGAGCATCCCGACTTTGTGGAGCGCTACCGCACGTTGTACGTGCGTCTAAAGAAGGCCACAGAGGAACTGTTTGGCCAGCAGACGGCTTTCGTCTTGGCCCTGCGACACGGTTTCTCCGCCGCCTTACTGCAGCTCTCCATCCTCCGAGCCATGCACGTAAGTCCGCCTTCACGCCGGCGAGAACGTGGACCCCGTAGCAATCGATCCCGTTGGAACTTGCAGGTGAGCGAGCGCTTCGCTCAGTACGTGGACCAGATCTTGCAGGCCAATGGCTCGGTTTTCGGCAGCCCTGAAACTTTGGAGGAATTCCAGCAGTTTTTGGAGCCCATGCTCTTCCTGTCGGGCTTGGAGCTGGCCAACACCTTTGAGCACTTCTACAGGTGAGCTGGTCGGCCGGCGCCGCCGTGCTCTGACAGCTGTGCTGATGGGCGGCGTGTGTGTGTGTAGGTACTACATGGCCGACCGCCTGCTGGCGCGCACCAACGTGTGGTTGGAAGCTTTTGTGGTGGAGCAGCTGGGCTCGTGCTTCCCCAACCGCTTCCCTCAGCAGATGTTGAAGAACCTGAGCGAGTCGTCCGATCTGCGGCGGGACTTCCACCTCTACCGCTTGCAGCAGCTGGACTGCGCGCTGCACGGCCGGCAGGTCGGCCGCACCGTCGGCGTCGGGCTCCTGTTTGGCGGCTCGGAATCACCACCCCCTTTTTTTAAAAAAAAAATTTTGTCCGCTCGCAGATGGACGACGAGGACGAAGAGGAGTTGGAGCGAGAGACGGAGCAGGAGGCGGATGTCCGAGTCCTGCTTTTGTCTCCTCGCTGCTGGACCATCTCGTCGCTCTGCTTCATGGACGAGCCGTCGAGACACTTCCCGGCCCGGCTGTGTTCCTACCTTGCGCAGTTCGCCCTCTTCTACTGCCACAGTGAGCGCACGCAAACCACTCGCTCACCTTCTTTCAGCACATTTTCAATCCCGCAAACATGTCGAGTTAATTTTTGGGCCCTTTACAACTGACGTTAGCCTTGTAACTCGGTAGTCTATGATTGCACTGACGCAAGTCAAGGTGCCGCAAAATTCTTGTCATATTTTTGTTTAATCCTTTGCCATGAGATTTTTCTCATGTCAAAGATGTGCTTGCTAAACACCTTTGCATACAATATGATGTGCGTGTGTGTGCGTGCGCGCGTGTTTAGGCCAGTCAATGTCTGTCGGAAGTCAGGGTAAGCCCGGGGGTCTTCAGTGGACGTGGCTGGGTCATGCCGACGTCCAGTTTGGCGGTTTGACGCTTCACGTGTCCACACTGCAGATGTTCATCCTGCTGCAGTTTAACACACAGGAGGTAACATGCACACCCCCCCACGCGTACGCGCACACACACAGATTTCCCACAAGTGCTGGTTTGCAGGAAGTGGGTGTGGACTCCGTGCTGAAGGGGTGTGGTCTATCAAAAGAGGTGGTGCTTCATGCTCTGCAGCCTCTGATTGAAGATGAAGGACCACTCAGCTGCAGTCATCCGCAAGACCCCTGCCAAGGTCTCACGCATACACACACACGCAAGCACACGAATGCCCCTTGATGGGGAAATAGGGGTGGGGGTCTTAAGGAACATTTCAAATGAATTCTGATCGGTCCATCAACATATGCGCAGTGGTATTTGGACCAAAATGCTGCAACTCGCCTCTTGACGGTTACTCAAACACTCCCCATGAGACTTAATTTTTAGTTTGATGGTTTTTGTGGTTACTACTGTTTTTATTATTTGCTGTATGAATTATTATTAAATATTTTTTCAAGCTCAGTAGGTCCCAAAGTGACTCTTGGGACCTGAAGGTTTCAGGCGGACCAAGGCGCAGCCTTTTCTGACTCGCTCCGTGCTTTCAGGTGTGTTGCAGGTGAAGCAGCACTCAGCGCATAACCTGACCAGGCGCGTGGAGCTTCAGCCGCGACAGACGTACTTGAATGTGGACAAAGACGCCACCGCCGCTCTGGAGACCAAGCGCAACTTCATCTACTGCCTCATTGTCAACATCCTCAAGCAGGAGAAGGAAATGCATATCGACAACCTGGTGTTCAAGGTAGCGCGCCGCCTCTTACCCCACGTGCGCACAAAGGCCTCCCTCACACGCCGCCTCACGCGCCGCAGGTTCTCCATTCGTGTCACAAACGCGAAGCGGGCCGGTCTCCCGCTTCCACTCCGGGTCCGGGTGGCTTCAGCTGCAGCACGGGTGACGTTCTGTCCTGCATTATGCACGTGATGAGCAAAGGATGCGTACGCCGCAACCCGGAGCATCCTCACATGGTCGAGTTCCTCCCCGACGATCCGGCCACGCCGCAGAAGGGACACGCGCACCTCTCCTTGGCCACCACCAACGATACCCACGGCAGGTTAGCAGCTAACTCTTTGATTAGCTTATAGCGCGTTGTGCCGGCGCGTGTTTACACACGTGCAGCATGCTCACATACATACACATGAACCGGCGCGCACGCATGCGTGCGAGATACGTAGCGGTACGAGTGCTTTCAGTGTGTTTTGCGTTTCAGCTCCCCAACGAACCCCGGTGTTTTTTTGGACGGCGCAGCGGTAGACTGCGCTTTGTTTTCGAGCGGTCGCAGCATGACACCGGAGGAGGTGTCTCAGCTGATGCGTACCACCGTCCAGCAGGTGGCCACCCGGCGGACGAAACTGCGGCGGCGCTGCCGCATCTTGGCTTTTGCACTCACGCCCCCCCCTGCCCCCTTCACTCCACAGGTGGCGGCCACCTTAAGCGTGGACCCGGACCGGGCCGAGCACCTTCTGGTCCACTGCGGCTGGAACGCCGACCTCCTGATGCGGCGCTACACAGATGACCCCGAAGGTGCGGCGGCTGCCGCCGGACTCGAATGTCGGGACCCTCGGCCACCGCCCGGGCCCGATTCGGCCTGCCCCGTGTGCCTGGTCCCCCGCGGCACCGCCCCCGACCCGCCGCCCTCCCTCAGTTGCATGCACTACTGCTGCAGGGTCAGCAGGCGCCCACGTCGCGCCCACGGGGCTCCGCGCCCGCAGGTGTGACTTTCTGTGTGTGTGGGCTTGTGTTGCAGTCGTGCTGGCGGGAGTACCTCAGCGCTCGCATCGAGCAGAACCTGGTGACCAACTGTAACTGTCCCATACCCGACTGCCGGGCCCAGGCCACGCCCCGCTTCTTCCTCGCCATCGTCACCGACAAGGACACCGTCGCCAAGGTGCGGCCCGGGCGCGCGCTACGGCCTGATTAGCGGCTGCTACGGAAACACTGAAATGTTCCAAAGAGGACATTTTGCACACTGAGAATTTGACTAATTACAGTGCCGAACAAAAATGCCGTCCACGTGAAAAGATTCCATGTCGGCAGCGTGCATAATGCACTGGTCTTTTTTTGCCTTCTTTTGAATGTGTCTCTTTTAGTACGAGAAGGCACGACTGCGAGGCTTCGTGGAGTCGTGCTCCAACCTGACGTGGTGCACCAACCCGCAGGGCTGCGATCAGATCCTATGCAAGGAGAACATGGGCAGCATGGGAACCTGCTCCAAGTGCTGCTGGTCCTCGTGCTTCAGCTGCAACTTCCCCGAGGTCGGCGCACTCGATGCGGCGTGCGCGCGCGCGCACGCTCGCTGACTGACTGACTGACGCGCGCCGCTGCCTCCCCCCGCAGGCACACTACCCGGCCAGCTGCAGTCACATGTCTCAGTGGATGGACGACGGCGGCTTCTACGAGGGGATGAGCGCCGAGGCTCAGAGTAAACATTTGGCCAAGCTCATCTCCAAGCGCTGCCCCAGCTGCCAGGCGCAGATCGAGAAGAACGAGGGCTGCCTCCAGTGCGTAAGCGAGCCGTCCGCCGGCGGAGCCGCTCGCCCTTCGGCTAACGTGCCGCTGTGCTGTGTCCTCAGTATGACCTGCGCCAAGTGCAACCACGGCTTCTGCTGGCGCTGCCTCAAAGCGTGGAAGCCCACGCACAAGGACTACTACAACTGCGCCGCCATGGTGGGTCAAACGCGCGCACGCTCACTCCTACCAAGCTACACCCGATGTACCGTGACTCGTTGGCGTGTTCTTGCAGGTGAGTAAAGTGGCGCGACACGAGAAGAAGTTCCAGGATGTAAACGAGAGATGCACCTTCCAGCACCAGGCCAAGGTACGAGCCCCGCCTTCTCCCCCGCACAGCACAGGAAGCACTCGGCGGCGTGTTAGGGCTCCAACTGTTGTTGGCCTCAGGACTTTGCCGTCAGCCTGGAGAAGAAGGTGTCGTCCATTAACGAAGCCCTGCAGATGAAGTCTCTCACCTTTGTCATCGACGCCTGCAAGATCCTGGCGCAGGCTCGCAAGGTGAGGCCGTCGCGTCGCATCACGTCCAGTTGTGTGTCGCCCAGCCCGCCCGGCACCGTTTGATGCCAAAATGAACGTCCCCATAATGTGACGTCTTTTTATCTCTCACGTTGAACCTAGAAAAAGGCTCAATATCCGCTCGGCACGGCAACCCTTCCGAGCGCTTTTTCGTTCAGCCGTTTGGCCAAAGAACAAAAATTGCAGCTGAACGTGGTCGGAGCACGCATTTCGAATAACCAAAGCTCCTCTCACCCTTTTTTCACCCCATGGCTCGACACTCACATTCAACACCTAATTTTGATTACGAACCACAATTCCACATCGTGTCAGGGGGAAAACAGCTGCATTTAGATTGTGCTACTTTTCAACAAACAAGATGTCAAAAGTGGAGCGCTACATGGAAGTTGACAAGAAACAGACGATTGTTTGCAAACAGAGGATGAATTTGAACAAGAAAGGTCGCCAAAAAAGTGTGAATCCGATTGCTCTCATTTTGTTGAGCTTGTGCTGGTGTGGCCATTGCAGTCCTCATCTGCACTTTTGCTGCCCGTCCTTCTCTGCGCATGACGCGCTGGCCTCAGTCCGCTTCTTGTTCACCCCATGCTGGTTGGCTGACAAATTATTTGGCTTGATTGCGCGTCACACGCTGCGCCTCGCCGCGCCGCTTTTCCGTTTGCTAAGACGTCTGCATGGTGTCACGCAGGTTCTGGCCTATTCGTGCGTGTACGCTTTCTACAACCAGGACGGCGACAAGATGGATGTGATGGAGCAGCAGACGGACGCTTTGGACGTGCACACCAACGCCCTGCAGATCTTGCTGGGTGAGTCACTTTGACCGATCGCGTGCTCGCCAGCGTGCGCTCACATCAGCGTCATCGTTCCCGTCCGTCCTTCCGTTCCCCCAGAGGGGACTCTGCTGCACTGCAGCGACCTGGCCTCTTGCATCCGTCTGCTGAAAGCCGAGCACCTCAACACGGGCCTGGAACTGATGCGACGCATCCAGGAACGCTTGCTGGCCATCCTGCAACATTCCACGCAGGTGGGCCTCATCGTCCCAGTGCGAATCCCATCCGTTTCTTTTTGCTGCCATTTCTGTGTCACCTTCAGGATTTCGGCATGGGCTATCGGTCCCAAAGCACGCAGGATGCAGAAAACACGCACGCGGCCGATGCGGCCAACCGCGACAACACGGCCGCCAAAGCGTGAGTGGCGGCCGCTCGGGTTTACGACCTCCCGCCGTCCCCTCACTCGCATTTTTTCTTTTCAGCTCGGAAGCCGACTCCAGAGACTCGGACAACAACAACCGCGACGACGACGAGGACGACGATGACGAGTACGACGACGACTACGTCCCCGAGTGGCACGACGACTATGACGATTATGACGACGAAGACGTCGATGAGGACGACTTCTTCTCGGACGATGACGAGCCGGGCTTCAGCCTCTTTGACTGAGCGAAACGTCCCACGCGTGAAGGGACGGGGCCGCTCGGGAAGGCACCCGCGGCTACGGTGGCCTCTTCCAATCCCAGTGCTCCTATTCGTTTGCGAGTGGTGGTCCCTCGCCGGAACGCCAACGGCCAAAGCAGCAAAGAAGGGGAAAGTCCTCGCAAGAGGTCGCGGGGTCATAGAAGTCTTGGCTCGCTATTTGCTCCCTTGCTTCTTTTCTGGATTGGATTCAATCCTTCTCTTACCTTGTTGATTTGCCCATGATGTCTTTGCACTTGATTTGTTGGCTATGCACACAAACGACATGGTCAGTATTCTCCCTTTGTCTCTGTTTTTTGTTGAAGCTCAAAATCAGTAAAAAGTTTCCACAACTCTCACTCGCTTTCCTTTCTCTCCGCACATATACACGCACGCACATACATTGGGGTACTTTCTGCCAGACTTGTTCCGATTTAACCGATGTAACCATGTTTTTAACGGTATAAATCATATTAACCATACATGGCAATTTTCCGCGGATCCGCGGAAATCCGCCGTTTTATTTCTTAAATTGATCATTTTTGTGAATCGTCTAAATCCGTTGAGAAAATTTTAGGGGCGGTCAGGTACCTTATCGTCGAGTTTTCACGAGCTCTCCCGAACAGTCTCTCCGTTTTCCGTTTGTAAACAGCCCTGCAATTGGACGTGTATGAAAGCTTCAACTAATCAGATCACTGAATGCATTATTTGTTGCGGAAGTCTTAGCTCGATTATAAACGGCCCAGCGATTGGTTAACTACAAGCGATTGGACCAATCAAATTGCATGTAACATATTGTTTTACCTGATTCATGGCGGCCTGTTCGTCTCGCAAATTCATTGTTCTGGGATCGTTTTGAGCGGAATTACGAAATTTTTGACGAAAGATCAGGAGTCTTTAATCCTAGAAATTGACTCAAATGTCAAGAATAAATTCCGATTGGACTGGCTTGACAGAAAAGTCACTGTAAAGGTTCAAATTGGTTCCAAGTTCGACGAAGTTACAGAAGCTCTTGGACAATTTTTGAAGAAACCACAGGCAAAGCTTATTGTGTGTATTGTAGTGACTTAATTAACTATGGCTCCCGTGGATGCGTGGCACTGACAGATCATGCAACAAAAGTGAAAAAACATGCCGACAAAATCGCCATTCGACGGAGCAATTATTCTTTGGGATCGGCATTTTTCAAACAAACTTAGTCAGCGGATACAACTAAAGACGTTACACGCTGGGGTACTTACTTTGGCTGAACCAAGCAACGAAATCTGCTCCACTGACGCCCCTCGCCGATAGACAGGTACACTCCGAGGTACATACTTTTTTATTCAAATATACGAGGATGATAGTTTCAATTTTATTTGGTATGCATTTGTAGCAACAGCATGATAACATTTATTTGTTTTGAGTTGCGTTTTATATTCATATTGATAATTCACGTTTTGTCTTGGATAATAAAGCACGGTTAGGCATAATAAATTGTATGCATAATAAATATTCACTATCACTGTATGAGGTAAGAATCAACAGCTTTTTATCACATTTACACAACACTTTATGAATACAAGTCATGAACAAATCTTAAATATGGCAGGGAATGTGTTTACTTTTTTAGTTTTGATTTTGAGCAACAAATTTGGAGTTACATCTTGGTGCTCACCAGGAATGCATAGGCAAAATTGCACAAATTTTCACTTGAAAGAATAGTGGCGATCTTCAAAACGGATCGGATCACTTCCAGACAGTCGCGCGATGCCGAGGCAACGCCCCCGTCCAGGCCACGCCCCTTCCGCTTTTTTCATCACTCGCCATTGCCATGTATGATTAACACCACCAACAACAGACTCACTGACATCATACCGATCTCCCCCACGCCACGCACAAACAAATTGTAATATGGGGTACTGTACTTGTAAGGCCTGACCAACATCGATTTTTTTTTTTTGGCTGATGCCCATTCCGATATACTTTAAATTAGGTAATATCGGCCTATTTAGTCATGCAACCGATTAATCAATCGGGTCCAACTTAGTCCTCATTATGCTCCCTCCTGTATACGAAGCTGACATAGATGACGGAAGTTTCCGGGAGTTTGGGCAGTCGCAGGTGGGGAAATGGCATCGTGCCATCGCTGTCGATATGCGTCTGGACCGTGTACACCTTGACACCGGCCGCCCCGCCCTGCAGCACCGAACCGTGGATGACGCCCAGCCGAGCCTGCTCATGGAAGGCCGCCCCCAGCTCCCGACCCAGGAAAATGTCCTGCACCTGCGCCGCGGCCCGCGACCTCCACCTGTCGGCGTCAAAATGGAGGTCGTTGTCGTTCTCGGACTCCATCTTTCTTTGGGGCATTTGCGGGAAGTCGATGATGCTAAGCCTCTCCAGATGCTGCACCGCGAAGTGTCCCTCCAAAAGTGGGGCGCCGCTTTCCCGACGCCCGCCGCAGTCCATCAGGGTGAGGTGGAGCACCTCCGAGTTGTTGAGCAGCCGGGCGGCGTTCCAGGGCGATGTGTACCACACGGTCAGGCGCCGCCTGTGGAATACCGGCGAAGAGTAGGGCGCCGCCGGGAAGCGCCGCAGAGTTGGCAGCGTGATGTCCCGGCAACAGCAGGCGTCCAGTGATGCCTCGTTGCACGCGTCCGGCTCCTGGCTGCACGAGTAGTAGAAGAAGCTGTCGTGAGTCACGTACGCCAGATGCCTGTCTGAGCGCTGGGGCGCCACCGACACCCACAGCAGGACGCACAGGAGGGACGCCGGAGGGCCCAGGGAAGCCATAGTTAACGGGGACCGGGCTCGGCGATCATCTTCACCTGTACTGGCGTTATACGGATGCCTGAAACAAGACGAGGAAACAAGATGTCACCACAGACCAGCCACGGTGATAAGGTGAGGTTTCAGAAATGTGAAAGATCTGGAGCGCTTGTGACTGCACCGAATCCATGTCTGTCAAAAAACAAAATTACAACCTTGAAAAGTGGATGTTACCCTATCGAGTATCTTCGGGTAACATATTTGAGTCGTAAAAATATATACGCCCATATATAAAGCCTCTGGTAGTGGAATATCCGTGAAGTCCACTCGACTTTAATTGCCCCTCACCCTTCTGCCTTCGCTCCGTGATGTGCCCACACTCACAGCTAACAATGTGGCACTCTAAAGTGCCTTTACACACAAAAAATAATTAAAACAAATTCCCTCTCCTTGCTGTCCCGTTTTTCTCTGCATCACGTGTGCACACTCGCTGCCAACAACGAGGCCCTCTAGAGTAGTTTTTACAGCCCGAAGCTTAAGTCCGCAGGCTGTCAAGTTGGACTATACGAAAAACAAAATCTCGCTCGCTCTTCCAACTCTTTCCCTGCATGAAATGCTCGCATTCACGGCCAACAGCGATGCACGCCAAAGCAGCCACGGCAGCTGAAGGGAAGATGCATTCATGGGGTGTTTAGCCAGCTAACTGCACTTTCCACTTAGGTTTGATAGCAGCTGACGCAAACAAAGGGGCTCATGTTGCACATTTGAAACAAAGTAACTTGTATTACGCGCAACGTCAGACAGGAGGAGTGGCCTTCAAGGTGAAAAGTATATTAATATAGTATGAAATATTTATAATTTATCCATAATGTAATTGGTTTGTTCGTACAGTAGAGTCCTGAGGTTCGAGTATGAGGTCTGTACAATAAATGTTCTCAAACTCACATTACAGCAGAGCTTTGTTTCTTTTTCATCAAGTCAGTTTTGCTTCTAGATTTTATTCTTCTACTTCTTCCTTTCATAACTTTGCTGCTGTGAATTGGGAATTTCTCCATTGTGAGACTAATAAAGGTTTTCATATCTTAGCTTATCTTAAATAAAGTTTGCTGCGATTCAGAATGTGAATTTAAGAAATAAAACTGTTGATTCTACAAAAAAGTGTGCCATCTCACTTGTACAAACCACCAATGACAACTTTTCTTCAATATTTTCTAGCAGGTCTCAAACTAATGACAACAGATGGCCCAAAAAGTTGGGGGAAAAAATGAACGGGTATGACTGATCTTGGAAATATGTTTGAAGAGACAAGAACAGCTGCAGCATGTATGCGGTGAACATGAAAAGATGTTGGTGTGGAAATAAAAATACACTAACGTTAGGATGGATCATTTGGACCATAACACAATATTCTGATGAATATTGTATCGATCGGTGGAATAAAAACGAAGCAGATGAATCTGCATGTTTTCATTTGTCTCAGGGGGGCTGACATTTTGTTCGACACTGCCCTCTGCCGTCCACTGAAATCGACGTCACATATCGCGTACGTCGCGTACAAAATGGCTGTGACAGACAAACAATTAAGTCCGTCAAATGGACAAAATGGCTGTGACAGACAAACAATTAAGTCCGTTTAAATTTAACGGAGGCATGTCGCTGGTGTTACTTGTAATTAAGTTTCCTACTTTTGAAATTATTTTTCAACCTTTAGCAATATATACTGTGTATATATTTCGGATGAGTGGGTTCAAAAGCAGTTCATGGACGGTGACGAACTCCTCTTCAAATGGCAACGTGCATCATCAGCCTGTCGATGTCGATGATGTTCATGTTTCCAGCGACTTATAAATCAAATTAATGACTTGCCAATAATTAAGTCATACGACTTTGAGGGGAAAAAAAAGACAACAACAACTCGATATCCTCACTATGTGATCGCCCTGACCGGGAGCATTTCTTATGTTTTGACTGCCATTCTGACATTCGGAGTAGAGCACATGTGTTTTCCACTAATTCGGGTTTTCTACCGTGGATTCTTCGCTTATGAGCGCGTCTCTCAGTCATTAAAAAGCTTGGTTGCCAACAAGTGAGCCGATGTGGAGACATCTGGACTCAATCGGGTCCGTCGCCGTTGCCTCGCCTTCAGGATCGCGGCAGACCTAAACGTCAACTGGGGAGCGACGTGGACACCTGCCGACCCCATCAACTCGAACCGTTTACAAAAAAAGGGCAAATATTATGAAATCTATGGCCACTGCAATGTGCTCATTTCTCAGCTTGACACCAAAAACAGTGGACAGGAGAGGCTGTTTGCGATAGAAATCGTCATGTTATTCGTGGAAAAATGCACACATTCCATTCCATTTGGTTTTCTGCGTATTATGTTTTTTTAGTTAAGCTTTTTTTTTTTAATGTTTTGATGTCTAAAAATCCCCTAAATAGATTAGTAGTACGATTTGGCAGCGTACATTACATTTTTTAGAAATATGTTTTTTTTTTGTTAACTTTTGCCACCCTATGTGCTGTTTTGTGGGCATTATTTTAAAAACTTTGCTAATGGTATTTTTTTCCGTGGATTATACAGGCTCTGCTATTTGGTTTACTTGGCAAATGTGTTGTTTTTCATTTAAACATGGAAGGTATCAATGGGTTGTAGCATATCCGTGGGTTATGTTGTTTTAGGTTTATTAAAAAAATATAAGAAGATTGTTTCTTTATGAAAAAAAAAAGGAGTCATGACTTTGAAATCGGTGCAAAACACAGTAGCAGTAGCGTCTTTTTCGGTGCCATGATTTTCCTTTCTTGAGTGTGCACGGTAGTAGCAAGTACGCTGACACTTGTCACCCCGCATTGAACTCCACATTAAGGAGAAATACAGCTGGCCCTCGACTGCTTTCTGGGGGGAACTGAAGTTCGGAGTCTTTGTAAAAAAGATTACATTTCCTGGTTTGGCTGCTTTGCCGCATCCATTCTGGCACAAGCACGCAAGCACACTTGACCACTGCATTCCTGCTCTGGCCTTGGATGAACTCAAAGCAGACAACAGTGTATTTTCGAGAAGAAAAAAAAACATTCCCCCACATTCTCTTTAGACTTAAAAATCCTTCGTCTACAAAATTTGTCTTCCCTATGGAAAGAAAGCACTTTTTCGGGGGGGACTATGCTGATATTATGGTTGTAGTTGTTTAGGCTGCTTGCTGTGATTACTCACAATGAAACAAATTCCAGCTTGCAAGATGTCACCTTCTCGTCAGCATGTCGAAATACAGTTTGTGTGGTTGTAAACAAAACCCAGCAGTGCGGTGGTGTCCTCTGCTAAAATATTGGAACAGCGAGAGCATTTGGGCAGGTGAAAGCATGAAAATGGTGAGCACGATTGTGACATCCCAAATAGTTGCACACTATTTATTTTTTTACCATTGTTTGTTCACTGTTTCTGATTTTCCATTTCCCAGCGTCACAATTGCTTGCTCTCTGGTATTCATGTTGGTTACCTCGAGGGCAAACTTCAAAATCTGACACCGAGCATAGGATAATCAACGGACAGTGCTAGGACACGATCGGGCCCGACTATCGCACATGGTCAACCCGTTCAACGTTTACCATCACAAATCATTTTGTGTGGTCAACATGATCCAAGTCACTTTGTTTTGTCTTCTATGCTTTCTTCTTTGTACTTTCAGACAGTCTAGATGTGCTGTGGCACCACACTGCCTCTCACAGGTCAGTCTTGGCACACCGATTTCATTACGTGTGCGGTCCATTGCTTACAATCAGAACAGGAAACGCACTTGACAGTTTTTTTCTAAGTTTGGGGTCACTCAAATTTTAAAAAATTAAAAGTGATTACGATTTTAAAATCGGTACAAGAGTTTGTATCGCATCCAGAAAGAGGTAGAAATAAAAGCTGGACTGATCGTCTCTTGCCTCCAATTCATGTTTTCACGTCATGGCCACATCTTTTCGGTGTGTCGCGGGAGTAAAGAAATAATAACAACGGAATAGAATATTTCTCTTGTGTTTTATAGAATAGCAAGGCGAGGCCACATCAGGTTGTCCACCCCTACTGTGGAGGATCACATCACACTTGCACCGGAATGAGCTCTTGCACACAGAAGATGATTCTTCATATTTGAGGCCATTCAACGTCAACGCAATCTTTGTTTGTGTCAACAAACAAAAAAAAAACTCACAAGTGGAACCTGTTGACCATTTTTTTTCTCTTCCTCTCTGGCCACAAGACTGTCACAGTCCCACGACTTGTATTTGGATTTTGACCCATGCGCATCGCATGCAGCTCCACAATCCCTTGAATGAGTCAGAGCGGGTGTTAGATAAAATCAACTGCGCGTACACTGGAATGAAAAGTAAACCGGCATCCACAGCAGCTGAATTATTTCAGAGTGACGAGTATATCAGCATAACACAGAGGAATGCAATGACGAGTACACACACTATTATAGTTACTTCTCCTTTCTCTTTCACACACAAGCACACGCACACACACACACACACATGCAATCACACACACACAGACTTAAAAGAGCATACTTACTGATTCTTATGCAGTGGGAGTATTGTATCGCATGTACCTCACGGCTGAAGAGCTGCTGTGTGACTGCATCGGGGTGCGAGGCAGCACGGGAAGAAAAAGATCACATGTTGCCTTGACGTCAGGATGTGGGCAGTTTCCCACAAAGGAAGCTGGAGTAGGCTCTGCGCTCACCAATTCATGAGGCGCACTCAGCCGTATGTTTTAAACTTTTAGAGCCGAGGCAAATCCAGCTTTTTGCAAGGATGTATTGCTTTTTTTGTGATAAGAGAAGGTACGAGACACCATTTGCGGCGTTTCCTAGTCTTTATATATGGAACTAAAATAGAAGCCAGTCAGTCTGGTGTGAGAACCATTTGCTTCCATGACAGTTTTTTTTTGTCATTTAATTTACAATGAACAGGTAAGGCAATCCAGAACTGATTCTCATGTGTTATGCTCATCTGGCAGCAGACAAGAGAGTCAAGACAAGCAAAAGCTACAACAGATCCGGTCAATTAGTTGATTGTGGCCTGTGGAATGTTGGTCCACTCCTTTTCATTGTCTGCGCTCAGTTGCAGAATGGCGCCAGAACCTGGAGGATGCTGTTGGTTGTGCTATTGTGGAGTAAGTCAATAATGCTCACTGGGGGACATTTTCCGGTTTCAGTTTCCAGAAATTGTGTTGAGATCCTTGCAAGTTGGGGTCATGATCATTCTGGAACATGAGGTGATGGCCGTGAATCAACGGCAGAACTCATCCACTCTATGGAAAGGAGGTTTGTTGCATTGCATGCGTGGGGAAAACGGTGGTCACACCAGATACTGACTGCTTTTCTGACCACCTCCCGCAAGGAATCCCCTAATACAGTCAAACTGCATATATGTTTCACATGTTAAAACAAGGGCGGCACGGTGGGCTCACAGTGCAGAGGTGCAGGGTTCGATTCCAGCTCCAGCTTCCCTGTTTGGAGTTTGCATGTTCTCCCCGTGCAAGTGTGGATTTTCTCCGGGTACTCCGGTTTCCTCCCACATTCCAAAAACATGCACGGCAGGCTGATTGAACACTCGAAATTGTCCCTCGGTGTGAGTGTGAGCGCGGATGGTTGTTCGTCTCTGTGTGTGATTGGTTGGCAAGCGGTTCAGGGTGTCCCCCGCCTACTGCCCGAAGACAGCCGGCATCGGCTCCTCAACGCCCGTCACCCTTGTGAGGAGGAGTGGATTAAAAAAATGGATGGATCTTCAAACAGAACAAAATGTAATGTATGTCATGTGATAACATGAATTGTAACTAAGGAGAGGCATGTTTGTTTCCACTTACCTCTAGGATGAAAAGTCTGCATAACAACAACATAAATGTACATTATAATACTGTATTTTATGTGCAAAGTCTTAGGTACTTTTTATGATTAGACGTAAAGTTTTTAAATGCTTTCATTGTCCAACAAGATGCATGTATGTCAATATATTTCTTTCATAATTGTATTTTTGATATGATAATGGTAGACATAATAACTAGGAATGTTTTCTTTTTATTTAAATATGTTTTAATTGTGATGCTTACATATAGCCTATATTGCAGCTCCGAAATAAAGAGAGCTGTCGTGTTGGTTTTT